ATTTATGAATTATTTTTATTTCTAATGCCTTTATTTCCAGTATTACAATAACTTAAGGTTACTTTTGAATCCAACTTGTGTTTATATAATAGTTTCTTAAAAGTATCAGCTCCTTATAATTCCCACATAGATGCCATTCTAATCTGTCACGTCTAGGTCGAGCGGTGTAAAGTTCATCAATGCTGAATTCAATTATCGATTACACCATTGTGTTCCGCTCTTTAGAGTTATATTTAAATATCAGTTTACGAGAAATGTATTGTGAAATTAGATAACTATTTATTGTATTAAATGGACCTCCTGCCTCGATAGACACCTCGTTAGTTCTTTGATTATATATATAGCGTTTTAAATTCGCTATGCTTGCAAACAAATTAGAATTATAAACTATATTTATATGTCAAATTTATATGTAAATGAAGTATTAATATAAAATATAAGTCACCTCAATTAATTCTCCTATAGATAGTTAACGATCTGAAGCGTAGGTGGACCCAAATAATACAGAAGCTCCAATTAACCGATAACGTTGTCTCATAAACAAAAATGTATCGGTTGACAACTAACGATAATTTTCTTGGTGGTCTGAGTGGACTTTTAATCTGTCATCCAAACTGTCAAATTACTAACGGAAGAGCGAGCGACCGGCTACCGAACGTGTTATAGATAAGAAACATAGATTATTATAGCTGCATACAAGTGCAGAGCTCTGAGAGACGGACCATCGCTTTGGGTAAAATTTAAAAAGAACATTTTTATCATTGAACTCCTTTTCAATACGAATTTCAGTTTTCATACTGAATTAAATCATTTTATGTATTATATTAAAACATTTATTGCTAATGATGGGTAACTTAAAACCATTGTGATTTGTGTTTAAATTGATTAACAAAAAAATAATTATAAATACTATTAATAAAATGATTAATCTTTGACGGTCCGCAAAATAAAACAAGTAGAAGTACTGGCACGAAGACACCTGATTGGTCTTGTCTTGTTTTTTATATGGAATTTTAATTAATTTTCGCTGTCAACTGTACTCAAACAAAACGTAGCCAGTGATTAATTCGGGTTATAAACCAGTTGGTATCGTGGCCCGTAGATAGGTGCAATGTATTTGTCAAATCTCGATTAATAAGTTGTGATAAAACTCTTTAAATTTTTGATTTAGATTATAAACTATCACTGTGAATTACATTTATAACTAACTAATTGTTTTTAATACACTGAAAATATCATTAAGAAATAAACAATACTAAACAATAAAAAATATGTAATAATTTGATAAAGGCTTAATGAGATAGAATTTCTTTTTATTTCTTTAAGTCTCATATGTCTTTACATTAATCTATTATTTTTAAACAAGCCTTCCTTATGATACATCGGCACATTAGTTTCATGATGATTAATTTCGGACACATGCACAATTCAATGTGATAGAAATGAAATGAGGTATTAGAATGAATGAGTGCTTATTAAGAAATATACGAGCCCAGTCAGATATCAAATGATGAAGCTTTTTATCATCTCATGGATATTGATCGCCGATTTATAGCAATGTATAGTAATTATTCGCATTATTAATCTAAAGTACAGTTTCAAGGTTTTCTCATTAATAAAGTATTAATCTTCTTATAAAACAAATACACACAGAACTTCAAACATTAACTGTTTTGATTGACGATACAAAGAAATAGCAAAAAGGCTAAAAATTTCTTAACACTTTTTGATTCATAAATGATATAAAACTATAATTATAATTATGCTTAAGATATTTTTTTGTAAATAATTATTTTTATATGAGTATGCGAATTTCTATGAACTTGTAATATTACATATAATGCAATAACCTATCAATCAATGGAAAGCAAATATAAAGGGCAGGCGAAGTGAAGGTTAAAGGAATGTGCAGAATCATGAGCGCAATGATTTCTTGTCATTACTCATCTTCAAATAATAGTTTGCACCCCATAGCTAAGCACGGTTTAAATCATATGAACAGCTTTGATTCAAACATACAGTACAGTCATCAAATTATATGACTACTCTCACGTATTTGTTTATTAAGCAAAAAATAATTATATAAAATATCGATAGACATTGGTGAAAATTGTATACAAAAAAGGTCTTAAGCAAAACTAAAAATACATATCAAGAGTATAAATCAACAACAATATATATTATATCTGCCAATATCTCACAAGCCGACTGTACCTTCACAGCAAGACGCAATTCCATCCACACTTTCATTAATTATTTCAAGTTAGATAAGACACTGCATTCTTAATGACCCACGGACGAAGCCATTCCTCATACGTACGACCGCTTTTGTTCTTCCATCATCAGACATTGTTCTGACCATATCGAAAAATACACTTATATTATGATTAACAACCTAAAATATATAAAAAATACAAAAATTACTTAAAAGTTTAATCAGCAGTTTTTGTTATCGATATTACTCTTGAAGCATTATTCCATCGAATTCTTAATTAGTAATCATAAAAATGAGCCTCGTACCTTTAATAACCATTACTTCAAGTGCCATTCAAATAATAAAGCTAATACATGAAACTTGATATTTTACCATTCACGAAAATATCGTAAAGGAATCGTGTTTTTAACATCATAAAATTTGTATAATAACACAACATATCTGGCTTACGTAAATATATATAAGATATAATCGATGTCATTGTACCCAAAAATATCATAGGTCCTAATAAAGAGCTCCTTAAAACCATTCCTTTGGAGTGTTCAAAAAAATATATATTAAAAGTGAAATCCAGAGTTCTGATTGACCACAAATCAATATTAATGATCTAACCCAGCGGGTGTTCTTGTGGTATGAGCTGTCCTTCTCGCGACCATTTAAACGAGGAGGATGGAAGATGTTTGGACACGTCGCCCTTAAAGCGTTTTAAGTGCTAAACGAATAAAACCATTAATTACACGCAATTCAATGTACATATTGAATTTATTCAAATGGTGATAAATGGGTATAGAAGAAACAAGAGGTGCGAAGGATATGCTTGAGGACTCCTTGGGTACAGGAATGTTCGTCGTGATTCAGTGCCTGATATCACGATAGCTTTGTTGTGAGTGTGATAAATTAAAATTTTTTGTTTGTGACCTATAACGATAAAATGGATTGGCATTGGAACAAAAAGAGTTATACTTTTTAATTTGTGTTCAAGTTGTTGATTACTTTAAAAACCTTTACCGTGTAAATTTCTATATTTTTTTTTTGATAAATTATTGTTGATTTCACTTATATTCAAGAGTGAGAAAGACTGAAAATATTATTAGAGCAATGACAAATAATGCCACTGATGCATCTGTAGATATATGTACAAGAGCATTGTTTTAGGGATAATTGGAAGACTTGTATAATGAGTAAGTAGTTTTTTAACTTTCAATTAAACACTAATAATAATAATCTTATGTGTCAGTAACTTTCATTCTTGGTTGAGCCATTAATAAAACTAACTGCAGTCAGTTTACTGCCTACCAGATAAACAGTCTTTATTTATTTTTTATTTATCTTCGAAAACTGTTTTATATTAATTCAGTTCCAATTTTCGGCATTAAGTATAAGAAAAAGACTACTGCTGCCATCTGTTGATAAACTTTCCATTTTAATAATAATATCAAAATACATATGACGAATGTTCAAATAAATACAATATATAAAATGAATATAAGGTAGAAATATGTTCATCAATTTTATTAAGCCCTCCCTATACTTGAAAAGGTACAAATCAAAGCTAAGTTCGCAATGTGACAAATACATAAACCATTAAATTAAATTAATGTTCCTTTACCACTTCCTGTAAGACCGTTATGGAAAATTTAAGGATTCAAGATACACATTGTTTTCCCTAATGTTTAATAATAGCAGAATGTTGAATACGCCTTAATTTATTATTATGTAAATCCTTTCAAATATGTATTTACATTTGTTATAAAAATATTTATTTAAAAATTTCATTTAAAGTCTTAATGGCAGGCATAAATAATTCTCACTGTCTTCTTAAAGTATTTGGAAATTCTCGATGTTTCACAGATAAATTAATATAAAAGTTAAAAAGCCGACGCTAAACTTGTAAATGGAAAAAGTATTGGCAGTCGAGTTCATTCATTAAAACTGAAAAGTTTGAGACTGTTGAGGAAATAAAAGTTATTTTAATATAACGAGGAAAATATGTAAATGTTTTATCTCAGTGAAAATAAATTCTAACAGATTCTTACCGACAGGCTGTTATTTACCAGTTTGGAAGTCTTATGCCATCTAGTATCGCCATCTAGCGTTGAATAGCTAAATATTCTTGAGTATTTTGAGTTTTTATTTGTATGTACATTAATTTATTAAGGTCTGATCATTACAAACGAAGATAAAATTTGTAGAAAGTGAAGTTTTTATATGCTATAACCATTCACATGATTGGGTTGTAATGTATCTATTAGGAATATATTGCCAAACCCAACGGCTATCGGTCCGATAGACGATAGCTTCTTTAATTAATCAGCCTCACCCACACATTAAATCTTTACGACTATCACGTGAAGACATTTGATCTGTAGAACACTTTGTTGCTACAAATATATTGTTAAAAATGTTCAACTAACTGTTTGACAGTAGGTATTAATTTTTTTAGAACTTTATATTTATATTAAATATTGTAATATTTTAGACGTTACACGTGAGGTATACCTTACTAAATAAATTACTAGTACACTGGAACACATATTTATAATCAGCACATTAAATACATATTTAAATGAAACCATAAATAATCCAAACGGGAATTTGATAACGCATCAAAAACACGTGATTTCCTTTCTTGATAGCAACTCGCACTCCTTTGTTAGGAGTCCCCAAAAGATTTCCTGCACCGCTATGAAGACATATTGCTTTTCGCGTTTTTGAACTCGCGATCTCAACGCGTATTTACGTATTCACACTCGCATTACTGCTAGTAGTATGTTCGGGATGAGATATGAGCGTGTGTTATGTTTGTATGTATGCGTCAGCCTCTAACGATACCAATATAGCTTGCACCTTTAAACCTCCCGCGATACTATGCAAACGAGGAAAGAGTACAGATGACGTATGTAAGCAAGGAGATCTTATTCCATTGGTGATTTGCAACGTAGGCTTTAGTGAACATGTGTGCGTGTGTGTTGGTATGCCAGTCGCCTCTAGGCGCGCAATAGATGGGGGTGGGCTGCCCAAGAGGATGGGGTATAAAGGAAAACCATTTACATTTGAGCGATTCGTCCAATTTAAAATTCCTACAAGATAGCTTAGACACGGGTGCCATTCTTTTGAAGAGGCGAGCATCATGCAAGGGACTTTCGTGCTCTGTTATTTCTTCAAGTTTTGCTTGGAATTAAGTTTTATTTTTAACGATTGAAATAGTCAATATATGTATTTAAATAACAGTTCTAATGGCGATGCTTTTAATACTATTAGATTTTCTTACTTAAGTCAAACACAAAATAATACCGATGAGCCGGTGTCTGTTATGAATATGAATCTTGGGTATGAGAATCAGTCGTAGAGCGTTCCATCAAAACGTCATAGGTCGCTCTGAGGACAAATTTGCCCGCTTGCCCACGTCCCGCGTTTTACGAGCCACGGCGACGAAGATTCAGCACCCAAGGGAGACATTCGGCCTCCAAAAACTTTACCCGTTACAAATTTGTTTTTTTTTTTGCCTTATCTGCTCCCCGCGCAAACCTAATTCCGTATTCAAAAATATTTCTGCAAGTATTGTGCTTGTACGGAACGAACGTTTTATTGCTGTCCATATAACGTTTTAAAAGTTAGTCAGTTTCGACGCTCGGTCGCGTTTTTTGCTTTTAGAGCTTCTTGTCAAAGTATAGATATATCTGGCAATTATTTTCATTTTACGACTTTCCTCTTCTGATGGCTTTATTGCACTATATGACACTTTACGTTTTGTATTATTACGTAATACTTCAAAACTTCTTTTAATGTTTGCTACCAGAGATATTATCTAATACTGCTTTAAAACAAGACTTCCTCCTACAATGTATGTATATAATTTTAAGTGAACCAAACATAAAAGAGAAAATCATATAAAATATATAAAAATATAGATCTCTTTAAAGAAACTACAGCTGACATTTCATGTATCGTAAACAATACCGAAAGTGGCCCATACAATCTACAGTAAGTTCTAATCAGGCAAAACACGAACGAAGACAATACGTTTTGTCGTTAGTGGCTTATTTTGCATTCATGGAATTTTCTTAAGCGTTGTACAGAGGGTGGTTAGGAGTTGTGCCATCCAATTTACCATTCATATTTCTAACCCAATCGTCTAGGTAATTTCAAAGGTCGACACATTGATCACGTGGAGTGGATGAAATGTCGTTTGATATTTAGGGCAAATAACAAAATCAATCTAATCTAACAACATAGGTGGAATAGAGAAAAACTATTTCAACATTGCATTAAATTTCTACGATGGTATGAGTATATTTCAAAATTAATAAGGTAGGCAAATAAGGGATACATTTTACTAACTGGCACTTCATTAAATCAGCATATTTATACACTTTCATCAAGTAAATAACTATTTACTTGATGACAACAATAACCTACAGCAAATATAACATTTGAAGTGAAAAAAGTAGAAGTTATAAAATGAATTCATTGTTGAAATGTTGTTCGATTAACTGCTTATTTGTTAATGTGTACTAACGCAACTTTAATGGTGTACTGTATAGGCATATTACTATAGAAATCCTTTATAGGTATACTTGTAAAACAACAACTAAACTTAGCAATACGGCCGATAACTGTATTAATAACAAAGTAATTAAATTAACATAACATAATACAATTAATTCAAATATAACACAAATAATTTATGCAAATTTTATGTTTAACGAATAATATATTTTATGTATATATACATATATAAAAATTCATTTAGTAAATCCTTCAATAATAATTAACAAACAGTCTATATTTAGAAATTTAAATGTCAAATATTTTAATTTTTACAATTAAGTTTCTTTCGATGGAATTTATTTACATAGGTATATGAAAATTCCAATCATCACAGTGTACATAGTACCTGTTATGAAAGGCATATTTTCTGTTATATCTCATATAATATAGAGTAGTAAGCTTACGCATACGTTGTACGTTAAACCTAAATGCAATTGAAAATAATATTTCATATATCATAAGATATGATCTCGGTTTCTGTACAAAATGTCGTTTCAAGATATATACATACATATGGTATTACTATTGGAGTTCTTCAGAAGTTAGCATTTAGAAAGTAGTGTACATTAATATAAAAATTATCATATTATTATAAATAGAACTGAATAATATTTTATTGGATAGTAACAAAAAAAAAAGAATTGATAGTCCAAATTTATAATATATTAAAATTTCCATTTAATGACGAATCAAAATGGACTATACCTTTTTTTTCTACTATAAATTCCAAACACGTTCTAAAAAATTTTAAATATCAGTCTCAATAAATAAATGTATGTATAAATTATACTTTTTTCATAATATAAATAAAGTAATAAATAATATACAATAAAATATAATTAACATAATTAATTATTTAATACTGTATTCGATTTAATATTTATTGTTTATACGTATTTAAGACTTGTCATTCTGTTGCAAAGTTTCTCACCTGAGTCATTATCATATAAACATTATTTTCTAAATATAAATATACATAACAAGAATTTTCGTATAATAACTATTGTATTAACATATCAATTATATTCTAATGTGTTTTTAAACGAACTACTGACATTAGCTCGTAAATTTCATGAATGTACGGTCGACAAAATAATATTATAATTAATACAACCGATACATGTTCAATATTAGATTGAAATGAAATTGCAATCCAAAATAATAAGAAAATGAATTCATAATGCAATTTGAAAACGTTAAAACGATGCAATTTCATTGTGTGCTAAAGAATTATGACGTATGTGAAATCGACATTTGCATCGTTTAAGTTATGCGGAGGAAATCGCAAACAATTTTATATAATAGGCTTGGAGCTTTCATATTGCTATTTTGCTAGAACTAATGGTGTCGAAAGGTTGTTCATCTATGAATTTTAAGTTGTTTAATAACATACGCGGATTCATGTTTTATGACATTATACTGTAACACTTCAACAAATATTAAACACAGTTAAATAATTATTTATAAGTAATTACTTATATAATGATTCTTTATAGAAATTCCAGCTCACTTCTTGGGAAAGATTTAACGACGAATATGAAATAAGAAGATCGTAATTAAAGACAAATGAAAATATATTTTTGTTTTCCCTTTTATAGAAGGAAAGACTGATGTAATGAATTTTTGTAGTGGTTATTTCCAAGGATAGTACCTAGTACAACGTCACCAAAATTTTACCTTAATAAACCAACGCTTTAAAATTGCATGTTATATGTGTTGTATGCAAAATGATAAGCATTAAATTGGTAAAGGTACCCCTTGATTTTAATAATAAAACAGTTCAGTTACTACAGCAAGGAAAATCGTTGTGTAAATGCAATAGATTTTATATGCAAATAATAACATACCATTCAAATTGTAGTTTACCACTTTAAATATGTTTGGTACTGATTCATTTTACCGGTAATCGGTATTTGTAAACTGTTTGGGATATTTTAATGTTTACATAAATATTAATTTTAAAGAATTTTTTAAATTTAATATCATTTACAAAATTACTTGTTATGTTTAATCTTGTAACTAATAACACTTGATTGCCTAATTTTTTAATTCTCTTTAACCGTTATAGGCCATCGGGTAATAAATTTTCGATGTCTTCTAATTATAAATCTTAATTAAAAACTAATTATAATTAGTAACAGTAAAATATATGTTTCATTAATATTCCAACGGTACGTTAAGATAGAGCCGGATTCCAGTTTTACTTAGCCTTTGACACCAGCCTTAATTAAACAAAATTAACATAATCGAAGAATGCGAGAATTGAATGTCCATTGTGGGAAATACTCAAGTTGCAATAGATTAAAATAATAAATAGGTATAGTAAATAAAATTATATTTGACAATTAATTTAAAGCTTCCAACCAAATAGGTTTTATTTGCTTTAAAGTATTCTTTCCATTTAATCCAATATCAATTTCTATGTTAGAATTCCGTTAGTTACATCTTTTGCATCACGAACACATTATTGATGAACATCAATTATAAAATTAAGATAGAATTCTTTATAAACTAATAAACTTATCTTAGACCGGAATATGATAGAAATTCTTTCTCAAAAGAAGTTATAATCTTTTCTTCGTCGAGTATAAATTAATTGTCTAACCGTCTGTTTTAAAAAGGAACTCCATATAATATCACACGTAACGAAACTATCCTGGCATATCTAATAGACGACATTAAAACGAGAACACGATATCAAACAAAAGTAGTAATAAAAATAACGACCCTCTATCACGCATCCGAAACTCAGTCAAATTAAAAGTTGACTGCTATAAACAATAAATACGGTCTAGGCTTCGTTTCGTTCGTTTCGTTACTGTTTCACGTAACGTAACTGTAGTTTCACAGTCGTTTTAATGATTATAACCTAATGAGCTTTTTTATATAGCACGCCATTTTTTTTTTTGGAGTTTTTAGTGATGGTTGAAGACTTTATTTGGCGAAGTATTTTAATAATATTTTGTTATATATCATAAAAAATTTGAAAGGTCGATTACTTCTACTTTTTAACTCGTTTATCAAATATAATTTAGTCTTTATGAAAATCCATAAGTAGTATTTCAAGCTCCCTCTTTAAAACATAAATTTAACAAAATAATAGTTCAGTTCTAATTATTTATTTATTAGTAAAACTACTCAATATAGTTGTTCAGATGCTTTCATTTTCATTAAGCCTTACTTTGGTAGCCGGTTATGTTGATTATACAAATCTTATGATTCTATATATAGATATATCAATTAATAAAATAAATAAATTAAACAATAAATGTTTATCTATTCGAATAAAAAATTTAAAATATTTTTATTTAACGAAATTATTATTTTTATAGCGCATATTTTATATGAGTTACTTCTATTAAAATAGTTTTTACATCTTTTTTATGGATATATTTTTGATAAGGTTCCAATGAGCAGCTGAATAAATCTCTAAGGTCAGTTTCGATTTAGTTGTAATAATGAATAAGGCAATTTAACATTTTTGAATTGGTGGTTCAGCGCACGAGTGCACTTAAGGTATAGCCGCCACTGATCAGGGGT